TATCCCTAAACCTAGTCCTAATCCTAACTCTGACCCAAACTCTAACTTTAAACCAACTCTAACCCTAACACAATTCCAACCCTAACCTAACCTTAAGCCCAACCTTAACTCTAATCCTTAATCTAATCCTACACTAATACTAAACCTAACCCTAACTCTTAATCATTATCCCATGCTAACTTTACCCCTAACCCTACCTGAATCCTAACCCTAAACTTAACCATAGCATTATCCCTACACTTACCCCTAACTCTAACCCTAATCATAGATTTATCTCTACATTTACTCCTAACCTAAACCCTAACCCTAACCTTCATCCTAACCAGCCCTAACCCTAAGGCTAATGCTAAACCTCAGCCTAGCACTAGCACTACCCTTAGCCCTAGACCTGGCCCTAAACCTACACTTAGACTAGACCTAGACCTCCCCTTATACTTAGCCCTAGCCTAGGCTATGGTTAGGGTTAGGATTAGGGCTAGATCTAAGACTAGACCTAGGGCTAGCATCAGGGTCAGGGCTAGGGCTAGTCTAGGGTTAGGGTTGGGCCAAAGGTTAGGGATAGGGTGAGAGCTAGGACTAAGTTTAGGGTTAGGATTGGGAGAAGTGTTAGGGTTAGGGTTAGTCGTAGTGTTAGGTTTAGGTTTAAAGTCAGGGTTAATGATAGAGTTAGAGATAAGTGTAGGGATAAGGTAAAAGGATTACGGTTAGTGTTAATCTTAGGTTTAGAGTTACTGCTAAGGCTAGTGCTATGGCTAGCATTAGGTTGGAAATAGGCCTAGGTCTAGGTTGAGGTCTGAGACTAAGGCTTGGGATGGACTTGGGCTAGGGCATAGTCCAGCTCCAGAGCTAGGGCTACAGCTAGGGCTAGGGCTAGGGTTAGACTTAGGCCTAGGCTTAGAATTAGGGTTAAGTGCATGGATGAGCTTAGGGTTATGATTAGGGCTTGGGTTAAGGTTACAATTAGGGTGAGGGTTAGGTTAGTGTTATCAGTAAGTGTAAGATTAGGGTTATGATAAGATTAGGGTTAGGGTTTGGGTTAAGATTGTAGTAAATGTATGGTTTGGGCCAGGTAAGAGTTTGGGTTAGGGTTAGGGTTTGGCCAGGGTTATGGTTGTGGTAATTGGGGTCAGACTAGGTTAAAGGTTGGATTAGAGTCATGGTTAGGGTTAGGGTTTGGATTAGGGTTGTGGGAAGTGTAGGTATTGGGCTAGGGATAGCATTAGGTTTAGGGTTAGTGTCAGATTGTTAGGATTCAGGTTAGAGTAAGAATTAGGGTTAGCCCTTGCAGAGGGGTCTAGGGGAGGAGATGAGCCAGTCAC